GCAGGAGTGGGGTTGATCCGTACAATCAGACGCGATCTGCTCTGCAAGGTAAAACTGTATTTTGACCATGTCTAGAAACAGCCATCATATACACACTCTGACACAGTCATGGTGTCTGTCTACAGGCAGAGAAACCCCCATGGCAGGGGAATACCTGGTCGCTTGAACTTGGTGCCGAGAAGCTTGCTGACACACTACGCCTCCGAAAGACAAGAGACGAACAGAAAAGCATTCACTCATGGTAAGACACTTTACATGTGGTTTTCTTTAAATTAGTAATGGTTTTGAACTGGAAGAGTCAGAGTAAACATCACTTCTCGTGACCTTTTATTTTAAAAAAACTGTTGTTACACCTGCTTCCAACTCATACCTTACAGAGGTACAATGTATGGATTTTCTTTCCTGCCATGGTCGTGAAAAGGAAAGCCTGGAACAAATATATAATATGCTTTCAGAGAGAAAAGCATTCATGCAACTGCAAACAAATCTAATTTGGAATGCATTTTTGTGAAAACTGTCATCACTTTTTTTTTTTTAACAGTATTTGTGATTGGTTATGATTTCATTAACAAGCATTTAATTCAGTTTTAAAAGCTACTACTAAAGTATGCTGATGTATATATGACTGTTGAGAGGTAAAACCTCACCTGACTACTTCTGTAATGTTCTTGATGTCATTGAAAGTGCCTGAATCCCAATTGGGAGCCAAGCTAAAACTTTCTGTAGCTCTCTTGGAAGACACAGGAATAACTTTGTACACATTTAGAACTGCAGAAAAGCCTTTGTTTACTACGGCTCCCTTTGATGCTAGCGTGTAATGTGAATTACACACAGGGAAAACATTAAATTAAGGACTAGAAGGTAATGATTCAGTTAAGACAAATTACATTACCTCTCTAATAGTAAGATCACAAAATAACTTATTTCTAATACAAAGATGGTTCTACATGCACTAACAAAAAGGAAGGGTGCAAAGTATCCCAAAATTAAAAAAACAGACCCAAATTAAAGTGTCAGCACTGATTTTCAAGAAATCAATACATAAATCCATAGAAGAACAATTTGTCTATTTTTTTTTTCCTTTTGCCTGCTTCTGCTGCTTCATCTTTCTCATGCAAAACATACTTAACATATGACACCCTAGCTCTGCCAAAGTTTTGGCTTGGCTTCAATGCATTTCCCAAGTCTGCTGGATACATAAAGGAGTTAAGCTACTACTGAAATCTTCCCAAGTCTCCGACACCAAATTCCTCGCTGTAGTTTATCAACAAACCAGTCCTGTAGACTGACCTTTAACAATTCAGAGGAGTGCAAAGCTTCAGACAGATGCTGAAGTCCATGGAAGGTCCCATGAGCAGGTCCTTCAAAGCATCGGTCATGTTCCACGGCCCCCTGAAAACTGAACCCTGCCCTCCTCTGAGGGTCAATGGCAGCAATCTGCCTTCCTGCTCTCAAATTCTCCTTGGATGTTCGACAAAGTGTTTCTTTTTTTCCTCTAAGATTTTTCTCACCAGCTGTCACCAACTGACAGAAGATGAAAACAGCATCTTGCTTATGGAAATAGAAAATAAGGAAGGGGATTTCTTCTGCTCTGGAGGTACTGTCCTCTCAACCTACAAGTTCTCTAAGGAAGAAAATTTGTTGTCGCAGGAATATGGTGACTAGCTTCTAACTGGTATGGAACAAATTTTATGCAAGTGAGCAATGGGTAGGAAGAAAGGCACGCAATAGATAGGAGCAGGGAAAAATTACATGGAGGGAAAAAAAAACCCCTCAGTGAAAAAACTGGCTTTTTAACAGAGCAACAGAATTCAGACTTGCAATACATTTGGCCATTTATTTAAAAAAAACCCCAACTAAACGAAACCAGGCAAAGCGACCTTGGTGACTAGAAAATAGGCTTCAGTTTTCTCTTGCTGAAGTTCCTGTGACAACAGTATAGGCAGCCTTGACTTTAAAGGCATTCCCACAGACAGTATCTGAGAAATTACCAGGTTTCACAGAGGGATGCTGAAAGCTGATAAATGCCGCTTGCTTTCCTGGGGAGACAACCTCATTATGGATCTCACATCATTTCCTGAGAGTCTTCATAAAATTGCAAGTGGGTAAGGGGGGACTTGCTGCAGGAGCTGAAAATAGCCAAAAAAATGTAGACTTTGGCCTTGCCCAGGTGACTTAATGTTTCAGAAAGCCCATGGCAACATCAGGGAACGCAGAAGAGCAAACCAAGGCATGAGAAGGTGGTGCAGAAGTCACTGCCCAACCTCACGTTTGGACCCCTCTTCCTCAGAAGAAGGGAAGAGAGAAACACCCCTCAGAGATACAGAAGGCATCTTCAGGCACAGGTTACTACACGTGTCAGAGCCACCTGAGAGAGCACCTGTTGGCACAGAGTAGTCAACTTAATGGTTGCGATAATTCAGCATGTCCCTGGCACCACTTAAAACTTCCTAGTATGGATCCAGCCTCTGTGGCTGCTTTTATTCAGCTTTTTAAATCAAGATTGTCTTGATCAAATATCATGTTAACTGTAAGTTAACAAGGCCTAAATGAAAAGACATTGAGAGGAGAAGCTGCAGACAGGAAGCAAAGCAGTTTTAGGCAGTGGCGCTGACTCAGCCAAAGCCTGCAGGAACTCCTGTCCAGTTTTACATGTACAGTCTCTCACTCAAAAAAAAAAAAGAAAAAAAAAGAAAAAAAAAAGAAAAAAGAAAAAAAGAAAAAAGAAAAAAGAAAAAAGGAAAAAGAAAAAAGGAAAAAAAGGAAAAAAGAAAAAAAGAAAAAAGAAAAAAGAAAAAAAAAGGAAAAAAAAAGAAAGAAAAAAAAGGAAAAAAAAAGGGGGGGGGAGCAAACCCTCCATTTAACCAGAACCTCTGTCATGTAGCAGCAGCCAGACAGGTTATCAGTAGCATTAGTGCAAGCCACTTGTTCCCTTCTCAAAATTACAAGGATATTTTCATCCCATTTCTTCCTCACCATACATGCACAACGCGATAAATGAACCCTCCAAGAAAAAAAATAAATTCATTATTTTCTAAACTGAAAAGGATAAAGCTGATAAGAGAGAGCCTTTCCCGTTCACACGGGGCCACGTGATCAAGTCCCTCCCACTAGCGTGTGCCACTGGCTGAATGCTTACATTTGCAAATGCACTGATCATAATTTACGGTTGTTTAACCAAGACTTAAAATTAAAAAGAACAGCCATGAATTATGACTTCCCTGAAACACTGAGTGTAGCTGCCATCTAGACCCCAAACCTCTCCCTGCAGCTGTTCCATGTCCCAACAGCTCCTGGCACAACACAGCTCCAGGCAAAGCTTTGACAAGAAGAAAAGTAACAAAGTTCTTTTAATGCCAGCTTTTGGAGGCATCTCAAAAATAGTTATCTGAAGACCAGTTAACTGACACCCATGTAAAAAGACATCACCTTTTGTATACTGATGAAGCTCAAAAAAAGCTTTTTAACAACACAGAGCACTTCCAGAGCTAAAATTTTTGCAAAGAACACACGCTGCGTCATCTATCCCTAAACAGTTTGTCTGTCCAGAACTAAGAAACTTGAGGAGTAGCAATAGTGATAGCTCCTACGTTGTAAGAATCAGATCAACCAGGTATACACATAATCAATCTTTTGCAGTTAATGTTACAGTATAAATCCTTGTCTGAGCTAAACCTCGCTCCAGCTTCCCAGATCTTTCCCTGTGCAGGATTCCTTTTCTACAAGTGAGTATTTAAGATCTACCTTTGTGCAGCCAGCTAGCTGGTTACCTGTATCTTTGATACCCGAACTAAGGTAACCCAGTGATTTAAGTGGAGCTTGCATCTGATCGTTTGCAGTGATGGACCTTCTGCTATGCACTCTCTGTCTTTGGCCTTGCGCATCTTTTGATTTCATCGCCTTTAGGGTATGCTACAGGACGCCTTCTTTCTTTAGGCTTAATCTGGAGTAGGATTTATTGGGGTTATGAGATAAACGCCAAGGTTGAGTTTGTTTTGGGGCTGGTGAAAGCTCTGTTTAGGGAAGTTTTACTGTCTTGTTGAGTCCTTTTTAACATTTTTTAATTTTTTCAGGTGAGCATCTGAAGAAACTGCAAGAGGCAGAACACATCGCTAAACTGAAGAAACCCACATTTGCTTACATTATCCCTTCCAGAAAACACACTGAAGTAGCCCTCCTGATCCCATCTCTCCCCTCTCCCATTGCCTTGTAAAGTAAAACCAGCAATGAACAACAACAAACAGAGGTAATAAATAAGGTTTGTTTTCCACTATGTTTGTGCAATTCCCATATCTAAATCCCCAGGCTACCACAAGCTCTGGAAAAATACAGGGAAGGAAGTTACATTACTAGTTCCACCCAAAACTGAGTTAGCACTTTAGACAGACAACGCTCAGTTCATTGAAATGATCGCATGACTCTGACAGCAGAAACGGGCTACTGACCCAGCCAGGTATTAGGCCATACAGAAAACCCAGAGACAAGATTATAAAGTCAAAAGTATTTTTTAAAGAGAGGAAAGTAAATGCTTTTCACATTCACAAAAAGAGGAACAGTTGTCATGGCACTTCTCAGCCTTTTGAGAACTGTCTCTCTACAGTACCCAGACACCTAATTTCTTGTTAACAAATGCAAAACCCTACTATTAACCACTGCTTATCAAGGAGCTGACTGATTTTTACAATGAGAATCCTTCAGTGAAGCCTCAGGACTCACAGGATGTGGTTTAGATAATCAACACCTAACTGAGAGCCTCCTCACATAGAAACAGACGTATTTTCCCTGCAGGGTGAAAGAAACCAATTTAAATTACTTTGAAGCTTATTTCTGAATAGCCGGCATACAGTAACGCAATTTAGAAATCCAATCTGTAAAAAGCAGCGATCTGTAGTGTGACCATTACTTTTATTCAGAATTTTATCCTACCTTACACACTAGGAAAGTTAAAACTACTGTCAAATACCAGAATTTGGGGAATTCTGCATCACAAATGGATGGATTCTACTGGCACAAATCAGCGACACAGGAAAAACATTTTCGGAGCAGGATGTCTCTGCAATACTGCAGAAGTTAGAACATTTCAACCAATTTGTGTTCTGCCCGTGCAAGTTACAGGAAGCAACAGGAAGCTTTTGAAACAGCACAAAGATCTGCTGCAACAATAATGACCTCAATGTTTGCTTTTTTATGTTTTACACCATTTTTTTCCTCACGTTTTCATACTATTCCTAGCACCAACTTCTACAAATACGGTTTCTTACGCTGTCCCATACCTGCTGCTCATCCTCCATGACGTTGCTGGCAAATTCAAACACAAGCTCATTCTGCTGTACAACTGCTGCCATAATAACGCATTCCCAGGTCTCAGCTCCACATGCGAAGAAAAACGTTCTTGAACGTGAAAGAACAGTGTGTCACCAAGGTCCAGCTGGGCAGAAAGGCAGGATCACAAAACGAATCAAGTATCAGTGTTTGTATTTCTTAGATCATTGGTGTTCCTGGGTTCTTCTCTTCTCAAAGAGAAACAAACCAAGGGAAATCCTTTCCTGAGTTGTTCTTCCCACTTCGATAGCCTTTTTCACTGTGGAGGGGAAAAAATTAAAAAAAAGTTATAATTAAGAAATGATTGCTTTAACTATGTGAAATAATAGCAGCCACAGTAATGCTTGCCCCAAACTATAACTGTTCTATCTAACTCCAAGGAAGTCAGACACCTTTGTATCTTCAGAGGTGTTACTTTTACTGATTAATACATGCAAATTTTCATTCCCTTAAAAAGAAAACTGTTTCAGGAAGTAAGACATCAGTTTCAAAGTGCTTCATATTAAAAGCATGAGACTAAGAGAAAGTTTCAAAAGTTAACAAAAATAAAATCCATCTTTTGATTCATATACACAGTTTTCATATTCACTAGTAACTCTCATCTTTAAGGTATATTCAAAGTAAAAATACAAAACCCAGACTGACCTACTCAGCTGTAGGATATCTCAAGTATATCACCTTTCTTCTTCACACACAGTTCAAATTTAGCAAAGTTGTTGTTTTGCGAGTAAAATGCTCTAGATCTTGATTCCCACAGTGTCAAACAGATGAAACCAAAATATATTCTTTGTACAATCCAAAGAGTCACCGAGTTCCTACATGAAGCAGATCTTCAGCTTCTTGTTAAAAATGCACTGTAAACGTATCCTTATCTCTAGCACAGGCTCACAAGCAGCCGGAAGGAAACAGCACTGACCACGTCATGGCAAATTAGAACAGGCAAAAAAACTGCACAGTACAATAGCAAAATAAAAAAAAAAAAAAAAAATCCCAAACTACGGAATGTAAACAGCTTCACTGGAGGGATGCGTGCCCACAGCTCCCACGTTTTCATTTGCTCATAGGCGCCAAAGGTAAACATGGTTAACATGAGGTTATGAAGAGATGTGTTGTATCACTTCTGGGGAAAAAGGCAAGTGCAAAACAATCTTTTTATACAACTAAGGTGACCAATACATTAATAAAACAAATTTACTGTTTCAAAAGAATAACAGAAACAGGTGTCTAAAATTAGGAACCTAAGGGAGTATGTTGGTGCCTAGGAATTTAAATCCATATGTTTTTAAGGAAGAAAAATGTGTGGTGCCTAGTGTTTTGATCAAAATTCTTTAAACTTGCTTAGATTAAGGGCTGCACTGTGGCAGAAGAATAAGGGGCAGAGGTCTACCACACAGCTACCCAGACTGAGACCCCCCAGAAAGCCTATGGCTGACTCCAGTTCCATTGGCGAGGATTAACATCTGCCTTTATATAGGACATTTAACTTCGCCTTGTTTTTGCAGTAGGCTGAAACTCAAAAAAATGAAGGGTATCTTCCTCCCCCCAATGCTGAGCAATTTAATTAGGGAGGATCGTGTTACAGGCTCATACTCCCTCGTTCTAGGAAATGTAACAGCTGTTTTTCCCATATAGATTGTGGTATTCCCAAATTCCTAAGTAGTGATGGCAGAACATTCAAGTAGCTAGATCCTAGCCTTCTAAGAAATCAGGAAACCCAAAATTATGCAAACAGGAGAACCTCCCCAACTTCCAAAGAGTGCTTTAATTAGCTGTTAAAGGTTCATAAGAGTAACCACAACCCTAACTAGAGAATATTTGCATTAATGAGAGCTACACGTGTCAACAAAGAAGGATGTGCTTTGGGAACCATGGCTGTTCAATCTCAGCGCTGGCCATTTTGCAGGATGCCCTGAATAGTTAACGAGGCTTCCTCCGTACTTCAGCAGGGCTATGGCACTGAAAGCATTACAGACAACCATATAATCCTGGGTAACTTCCCTAAATGTAGTTACTTGGCCTCACCTTTTAGAAGACAAGAATGCCATTAAGAAGTTACACAAACATGCCAGCACAGTGGGGCTAAGACCAACTTGTCCAATCCCAGACTCCTACTATCCTGTATGCCAGCCTGAAAATAAAGTATAAAGCCTTACAATATCTAGTTTAGTATTTCCTACAGTGATTGAAGTGGGTCAATCTATGTCAACAGGTACATACCACCTCTTTCAGAAGAAAGGACAGGTATGGAAATTTATTTAAGTACAACTTCTATTTTGGTTACTGCCTAGAAATAAATTGTGACTCTCCAATAACACAAAATAATAGTATTTTAAGTCACGTCCTCTAATCAGTGAAGAGTAACTTCACTCTAAAGGATCACCAGGCAAATGCAAGAACCTCCTCAGCTTCTAAATGGAGACTTATTTTAAAATGGGGGTTAAGCTAATTGTCCAGGGAGAACCAGAGCCGGAACACAGCAAAGGCTTATAATCATCTCTGTTACACTAATTGAAGCCAGATGTATGAAGAAAGAGTACAAGTCCTTACGGTCCAGTATCTTTCTAAGGTCGGTAAAAATTAACAGTGTCAATGTAAAATCAGGATAAATTAAGCGTTGGAGACACAGGTTACCTAGTAAGCTCATAAGGTATAAGAAAAACTGGAGGTAGAGCCACCATAAGACAGATTTTAAAAGTTCCCTGAGTGCATTGGGAACTGGTATATTCTTCCATCAGTGCCAGGTCATTTGTTATTCTGTAAAATATTAATAATTTACAGTAGATACTACAATACCAAGATGCACACTAAATGCATAAGATCCAAAGGCTGTGGCAGCAAACTTACTAAAAGCCATAAAGAAATCTTTTCTTACTTTTTATTTGGGAAAAAAAAAAAACCAAAACAACAAAATGTTCAATGCAAAACTAATCATCATGATTTAATATCATTTCAGAGACTGCAGGAGCGTAATGCATTTGATCCCAAAGGTATCCTCACAAACACTACTTGGAACAGTCACACTTTATGGTAACATGAAGTTCCTAATCATCTACTACCGTTGCAGGAACAGACATTCAAAACCTGCTTTACAAATTTTGCACCACAGTGATGTAGTGATGTAAGACTATATAGCAGTCTGCTCCTTCCCCCCTATACCCCCTCCCCAAAACCACCAAGGAATCTATAGCTGAAGTCCAATGATACCTTCTTCTTACAATGAAAGAAACAGCTAACCACAACATTAGGACCAAAGTCAAAGACAAGTGAGTAAACAGGCTTTAGTGAGCTTTTATATCTAACCTTATCAAGGCTAGGCACTCAAACTATTATTATTTACAGGAAATTTATCATTACTTCTTCAGTGGTACCCAGTAATAGCAAATGATCTATTGGGCAGTAACTGCATGGCAAAATAACACAAAAGTACTTTCCTTTAACCCATAGCGCTTTCTCTGGCATATAGAAAACAAGAGCAGCTTTTCAGAGAAGCCAGCACAATTCTAAACCAGCTATATTTTCCTCCACATCTATTTTTATAAACTGTGCTTTCATTATTCCAAGTATCACAGGATCCTGCTGTCTATAGGCTAACACAAACAGGACTATTGTTTTTGCTATATAATGCCACTTATCTCCCTGCCTGATTTTACGTACATCTGTGAGTAGAAAATAAGTTATTTGCAAACAGTATAAAATGCGTAAATTGTATTCACATGCACAATAAGCTTGACTACATACAAACAGTCCTAGGAGAAAGGGAACCCAGTATATATTACCATAAAATTTACATCAAATTTTCAGAACGATCAAGTAAGTAAGGTTTTGCTTTCATTTTTACTAATTGTTGTAGAAACATATTATAAAAAGCAATATTAAGACATAGCAATATAAATAAATGTCTCCATTTTGCTTAATTCTTGAAACTGAACATACAAATAAATTATTTCAGTCCCTCTGGGAATTCCCCTTGCTTTACTGATTTCAACATCTAGAACAACCTCCTCAGTCTGTCAAAAAGCACATTCAGCCAATTTATCCCTTAGTACACTGCCACTCTGGTATCCCGGAAGGTACATTGTAGGACTCCTTCCAGCTAGGCATCACAACTTTTTTCCCCACGGCTCTTCACCATATATACCCCGTACTTAATCCTAGCCCTATTTAGCCAGTTCAACAAAGCTCATAAGAAATACCTCAAGAACCAGCGTTTTTGGTCCCAATGGTGAAGTTGCAATACTGCAATTAGGCTCCAACTTGGAAGTAATAAATCCACAATTTCTCCTTTAACTCCTCACAATATGAGCCGGTAAAGCCCATACCGCTTCAGCATTCAAGCACTGTAATGCAGCACACTGAAATAACACAGTAGCACCACAATGGAGCAGGTGTAGCAGCCATCAAAGTGCCAGGCACAAACCCAAAAATTTGCTGAAGAAGCTTAGCTATAAACTTGGAAGGGTCAAGTCTCGATACTGAGAGCACCCCAGCTGAGCTGAAAGATGCCTCCAGCAAGCTCTGGGATCCACTCCCATTTTGGGTTACTGAAGATGACTGTTATCATCCTGCACTGCCTTTTTTGTGAAATCAGTAAGATCATTCCTACATTTAAAATTAAGAACCAGCTTAGCTGCTTTAAGATTCAAATGCAGCTCTGAATCATGAGTTACTGCTGAAACTGCTCGACTCATTTAGCACAGGGCAAATGACTTGTGATTGAAATTTCCCAATGATTTTCTAAGACGTCTGCAGCATTAGCTCTAGCCTAGAAGTGTGAAAGTTGTAACTTAAGAGAAATGCAAAGCTGAACCCTTTTTTCAACACCATCTTGGATGAGGGAGGAAGAGGGGAGCGAACAAGAGGAATGGGAAGAATAAAGACATCACCTGGAAATTTTGGACTGAAGGACTGAAAATCATCCCAAGTGAGGTCAGGCAAACCCATGGATTGTAACTGCAAGATTTCACTCAAGTTTCTGACTCCTTTCTATCAGTGGAGGTGAAGGATGCATCAAGACAGAGCCAGTTTACCCTCTGCAGAGTCACATCTTTTTAAGGTACTGTGCAAGTAATACATCGTGGAGTCTGGTTTTCTTAAAAAAGGGGAAAAAGCTGAATGATAATCGCAGTTGTCACACAGAAATCCCAAACCCGTGATCATCATCTTTATGTGTGGTCCACACTGAGCATAAATGCTAACAAGATCGTCTCCTGTGGCATTCTTCACAGATTGATTATTCCTATTGAGTAATATTAAGAA